TGGGATTAACCAGACATAGAACCTGCTCTCCTTGTTTTATCTCGGATTCTGCAACCGGCAACCTGCCTGGCTTCAAGTCACTCAAGGGAGGTGAGGTAGGACTAAGGACAGTGGGGCCGGCAGGGGGTGGGGGGAACAGCCATTCTTCTCAGGGATGGGGGTGACCTTGCCTGTCCTGCTGGCTTCATGATTCTTACTGAACTCATCTTAAATAAGGGATATGAGAAGAACTAAAATCTAAACTTACCATGTGTGGGAGTGGGGGCAATTAGAGAGGTAGCTGGAAGTCTCTCATCTTTGCCACCCCCTCACATTGCCCAAGGATCATGGCAGGGGAAGGAGACACCTAGACGTGTGGTGACTTAGGATAATTAGGGCATGATTAAGATCTCCAGCCAGATAAGGGCAAAGAGACCTGAGTACCAACTGACCTGTGATCAGCTGAGGTTTGACCTCTTGTTTTATAAACCCAAATCACAGGCAAGGGTTGTTGGGAATGAGGGACCCCCCCCCCCTCCCCAGCTTCCCAAGGTGGAGTTCTGGGCTGAATCTCCAAGGGGATCAGCTGGCTTCCAGCCGTTGGAATGAAACAGGGGGAAATATGAGGTAGGTTTTGGTTGAAAAAAAAATCTAACAAAAGGCCTTCTTCCTCTACTCTGGGGCCCCATGAGTCACCAGGCTTTTGAGAGAGTGCCAAGGTCATCATGACACAGCAAGAATATTACCAGCCCAAGGGAGAAGTCAGATCTGAAATGACTCAAGAAGAGGGATGGGCTTGGAATGCCAGGTCACACCTCACACAGGCCTGTCAGCAGGATGGACCCTGACTACCCACAGTCTATGGCTGTCACACGGTCTAGGCGGGGAAACTGATGTATAAAGATGAACCCTGTAGTAAGCCCATCTGTCCCTATGGACTCCCGAGGCCTACTCCTTTTCTCTGCATAAGGGGAAAGAACTCCTTTCCAGTCTCACCAAGGTCCTATTGGCTGGGGGAGATGCCCTTTTAGGTCCACAGTTTCTTCCCCCTACTGATCCATAAGGACAGGGTTTACTGGAGTAGGATGGTAAGGATTTCTATTTCCTTCCTTGTTTGGGTGGGGTCTTGAAAAGAGGAGTAACTACAATGAGGCAGCATAAGAATGCTCCTAGGTAGGAAGCTAGGTACTTGGGTAAAGATTGGGTAAGGAAGGGGAGAAAGAAGGGGCAGAGGACGGCTACTTGGGCTCAACTTGCCCTGGTGTGTCCCAGTGTCCTAGGGTTGGGCCTGCCAGTCACTGGATTCCTTTTAGTCTCAAAATCACACTGAGCTTATTCCCAACCTAGAGGACAATTGCCCTCTTATCCTCAAGTTGGGACCTGTGTATTGCAGAAGCCTTAGTACATAAGAGCCCATTTGTGACTTCTGCCCCATACAGCTCCCTAAAACCCTGTTGGTTGGTTTGTTCCTAAAATACAGTGTCCCCACAAGGAGGATAGGGACTGAGGCTGTTGTGGATTGCAAGAGACACTTGATTGCTACATTGAATGAATGGAGAACTTGCAGGTCTCCTAGATCAGCTAGCACCTTGCCTGCCTCGTGCATTCAGAATCAGGCAGGAAATACTCTGGGGGCTGTCACAGCACAGGGTCTGTCGGTCTCAGGCCCTCTGAGAGGAACAGAGAGAAACAATGGTGCTCTTCAGCAAACCTCTCTTTCTTCCCCACTCCCTTCTTTCTGCTGGAGCTAGCACTTCCCATTTCTACTCTGGAAGCCTTAGTTCTCACTCCCAGAGCAGAGGAGAGTAAAAGGGGAACCATACTGATTGCAGTGAAATGAAGTTGCTCAACTTCAGGCTAAAACTCACATAATCAGCCTTGGATAAAGCTGGCCCTGTTTGTTAGATGAAAACTACTAAGGCTCAGAGAAATGTAGACATTTGTTCCATGTCACACAACAAGCTATCAATGAGGTGTCTAAGAGTTCAGGTCCTGCAGTTGGAAACCATCTTTGCTGTTTGGGTTATTGTTGCTGCAAGCTTATGAAAGCATGGGTGGGGCAGGGGAAGTCATCCTCAGTTACTTTCTCTTCCAGATGGCCCTTTAGATCGAAGGGCCTAACAGAGTCATATATACTAAGGTTTGTGGTTGATACATGCACACATTGCTCTTTTAAGGGGACTAGGTTGCAGCCAGGACTGAGGGTAGAACTGCTGTACTGTGTGTTCTGACCGGGTACCTCTCTTGGGTCTTAAGAGTTACAGGGAGTCAGGACACAGTGTCTTGGGGTGTCTCTCCCTTGCCCTTTCAGGAGCAGAACCCCTTTCCTCTGCTTCTGCATTCCTTTTCTAAGTTTTCCCACTCCCAGTTTTTCTCAGAAATACCAGGTTGTCAAAGAACAGGTTTGGCAAAGGGGGTGGCATGTTCTGATTTCCTTTTTTTGGTAGTACTGGAATTGAACTTAGGGCCTCATGCATAAGAGGTCAGTACTTTACCACTGAGCTACAGCCCTAGCCCTTAGTGGGTGGTAATGCTATGTATAAACAAAGAACCATAGAGTTCCTCCAGCATTCAGGGGCCCAGAGCATGGAAGGTGCTGAGCCAGTGGCTACCTTCTCAAGAACACACCAGTTCTGATGAAGTTCTTGCTCAAGATTACACAATAAGTTAATAGTGAAGATGGTCATACGAGGGTGAGCTGATTCCAGGGTTAAAAAGCAAGCAACTGAGTTTACCTTTGCCATCAAACTCTGGTCACTGAACATGCCCTCCCGCCACATAGCACATAAGAGGGTGCCCCCACCTGTCCCAGTCTCACTGGGTACCATCAATACCACCCCTCTGACTGGGCTTCTGTTCTTCAGGTTATCCTAACAGAGCACAATGGTAGTTGTTCCAGTTGGACAACTGGAAACCAGGTGGAATTAACAGAAATCTGAAGTAGGTTTTGGAAGATGTGGCAAAGAGGAGGTGTTTGTCTCTAGGGAGCTTCATTCAGTAGAGAGAAAAGAGGCAGAGGCAGGACCTCAGATCCTTTCACTGAAATTGACTGTAACATTTGTCAAATTACAGATTTGGAAAAAAAATATACTGAAGAGCATTCTCTAATTGCACCTCAGTTTTTTTCCATCCAGGAGGAAGAAGTTCAGCTAGATGGATGCTTTATAACATGGATGTCTGGTCCACATTCAATTGCTGAGCATAGATTTCTGAAATGCCTTGCAAGTGAGAAATTCAACACAAGTACATGATGTACAGCAGGTACTGCTGTGATGATCAAGACACACAGGTGGGAACATACGCCATAAAGTTCAAACTAGTAGAACCTGTGTGGCCCCTTAGCAGTCAGCTGGGAAAGTTGAGGTACACATTTGAATTTTTTTTTTCAGACTTCGGGCCTAAGGGGAGACTCACCGATGCACCCATGATGATAAATATGTGTGTATCAGCTTGGTGGAAAGCATCACCCTGGTACAACTCTTCCCTCAGGATCCCACACACCTGGGTCCGGCTCAGGGCCATCTGCTCTGCCATGATGTTTCTGGTGGAAGAAAGGCTCATTGATAATGCAGGAGAACAGAAGAGCATTGACAACTTAACCTTATCCAAGGGTCCTATGGGCTCTCACCAGGCTAATGACTGATTACTGACTGAAGCTACTGACTGGGAATGCTGTGTGTGCTCGCACATGCAGAGTCAGAAACTGCCGCCTCTGGGCTTCAGCCATACCCCCGTATGTTGTCTTCTCGGGGGGGCTGTACATTACGAAATCACTATAAGCATTAATGTAATTCAGTTAGTGCATCCACTCTGGGAAGCGAGATAAAATCCGGCCAGGGCATCGCACTGTGTCTGGGGCCATCGCACTCTGTCAGAAACACCACAATGAACTGAGCTTGTTTGTGCAGATGATGGAGTTCAGCTCCAGCTCTCTTCTAGCCAAGCTAGGTGATCCCGAAAAGTTCCTTCTCTTCTAAAAGTCTAGTTCTTATGGGCCCAATGCGGGGAAGTGTGGGGTACAAAGGGATAGGTTAAGACCTCGTAGATTTTCTTCCATATCCAAGCATGACAAATAGAGCGAATCAAAGTGACACGCGGCGCACATCCCTCCACCGGTGTGCCATCAGACCACCCCTTTACCTGCGTTTAGTTGATGCTGCCAAACAGGTTCACAGTTCTGGAGTGCACAGCTCGTTTCCGGGGGGCTGCCCTTCACTGGCCCATTTAACGCAGGAGGGCGGGTGCTTTGGCTGAGCTGACCCGCCTCAAGAGAGGCAGAAGGGGAGGAGCTTCCGACTACTTCATCGGTGAGGGAGGGGAGAGGAGTAGAAGTAAAATGCGCACGCAGCCCTTGCAAGCCTTATCCTGTTGGCAGTCCTTGCTTCTCCTGCTCCGCGATAGCGATGCCTTGCTGGCATAGGTGCAGCTCCGCACAGTTTTTCTGGGTCCCCATCGCCACCCCAGGCACACTGTATGGTCTGTTTTTTCGGTGGACCCTCGTGTCCCTGCGCCCTCCAGTATGACCCCATTTCCGCTAGCAGCATAGCCACGCCCCCCCCCCCCCCCCGTGATCGGTTTGGCTTCGTTTCGCAGCTTCTTCTAAGCTTTTTTCACCGTAGGGACTCAGTGATAGAGAGCCCAGTGACCAGACTTAAACTAAGATGTTTCAGTGTGGATGCGACGCCTTGAAAATGGAGTGGGAGTGGGGGCGAGTGTGGGTGTGGTGGCGCACGCCTTTAATCCCAAGCACTCGGGAAGCAGAGGCAGGTAGATCGCTGTGAATTCAGAGGCCAGCCTGGACAGCTAGGAGAGAGACCATGTCTCAAAAAAAGAGTTTGCGTGGAGGTGATGTTTATCAGTGAGGAGCGTTTCGCTGTTCGGATGGCCAACGCAGGCTGGAGCTCTGAGGCTTCTCTTCTGAGCAAGATGCAGCACTATTTTAGCTTCGCATCTACAGTTAACCTCCACGGTTTCGAGTCTGTGTTTTACTTCCGGATCCCACACTTACGACACCGGAAGCCGGAAGCGGGAGTTTCCACAGCCGACAAAGGAAGGGTGACCGCTTAAACTACGACTTTCTGGGAGCTCCGATTCAGTCTGAGAGGTCGGATCCCGCTGTTCCCGCCCTCTTCACTTCTGGCTGACTTTGCTGACAGGTGCGGTCCTCTTCTCCAAAGACAGGGCTCCATCCGTGGCCGTTCCGCAGCTTCCGAGGCTCCTGAGTCCCCACCCTACCCCCCTTGGGCCCAGTTTGTTCTGTCGCAAGCTTTCGCATGCTTTTAGAGCGTTGGTTCAGGAGTGCTGATTCGCGACCCAGCTTCCCTCTGCTGCATCTGTCGCCTAAAGGCTTCGGAGACATTTTTCTGTTGATCAAACTTAGTTTTCTGAAACAATGTCTCGCGATGTGGGCCAGGCAGACCTCGAACTCAAGATTCTCCTCCCTCAGCCTTTTCGAGTGCCGGAGTAATAGGTGTGCGCCACTAGGCCAAGCTGTTTATCAAACTTGAGTGCATTTGAAGTCTTTAAAAAGTTTTCAAGTGTATCTTGACAGCTAAATATCTTATGCACCTCTGCTCACTTTGCAAATGATTAGTAATTGATTGGTCTGTTCTCATACCATTGATCTGATCTGAGAATGAATGTGTTGTCTTAGTATTTCTTAGAAAAAATGAAGGACCGGTAGCAGAAGCAGTGAGGGAGGAATAGTTGGTGGAGAGGAAGGAAAGAAGGGGAAATAGGTAGTATTGGGCCTTGTAGGCTGTTGTACAGACTTTGTTTTTTGCACTGGGAGAAATGGGAACTCTGATAGGGTTCTTAGTAGAAGGGAGAAGTAGTCTGAGTTATCTTTGAGGTAACTGGTCCCAGTGGGGTCGGTTGATTGTAAAGGGCAAGGGAAGAAGCAAAGCATTGTGATTTGTAAAGAGATTTTTGCAGTCATCCATGGGGAAGATGATAGTGCTGTCAGCCTTTTATTATTGAAAACTTTAAAAATGTAGCCGGGCGGTGGTGGAGCACGCCTTTAATCCCAGCACTCGGGAGGCAGAGGCAGGCGGATCTCTGTGAGTTCGAGACCAGCCTGGTCTACAAGAGCTAGTTCCAGGACAGGAACCAAAAGCTACGGAGAAACCCTGTCTCGAAAAATCAAAAAAAATGTATAAAAGTAAGTTTCATGTACACATTTCTTTCGCTTTCTCTATCAACTCATAGCTAACTTTAATTCACACCCTTTACCATGATTATTTTCTTCTTTAGAAAAGATGTTATTTTATGTGTATGGGTGTGTTGGCTGTGAGTATGTATGTGTACTTCATGCTTGCTGAGTATGTATGGGTACTACATGATTGTCTTGTGCTAAAGGAGGTCAGAAGAAGATGTCAGGTCCCCTTAGATTGGAGTTACAGATGTTTATGAGCCACCATGTGGGTGCTGGGAACTGTCCTCCACAGCAACAGCAAGTGCTCTTAACCACTGAGTCATCATCTCTCTTGCCCCACCTATTATGATTTTCAGTAACAGCTTTCTTGAGACATAATTTGCATGCTGCACCATTTACGTTTAAAAAATATTCATTTACTGTTATTGTGTGGGTAGGGGGGTGAGGGTGGAGGAGATAGCATAGGTGCTGTGGCCTGAATGTGTAGAGGTCAGAGGACAATGTTGTTGAGCCAACTCTCTCCTTTCCACCTTTATATGTGTTCTCAGATCTCTAGGCTTGCATAACAAGGGCATTTATCCACTGAGATATCTCACTTGCCCATAATTCAAAATTTTTGGAGATAGAGTCTCATGAGGATCCCATTCTTTTGAGTTCTAACCCTCCTGCTTTTACTTCCCAAGTTCTGGGAAGTATACCACCACACCTGGCTACAATTCACACATTTAAGGTCTTTAATTCAGTGTTTTTTAGTGGATTCATGGGAGTGTGCATCACTAATTGCAGAACATCATCATCACCCCCAAAAGAAATCCTAAGAAACTCCAATCCACCTAATCTAAGTAACCACTAAACTACTTTCTGTCTGGATTTACATGTTTTTGGATATTTATTATGAGTGGAAGTACATACAGTATTTAGCGTTTGGTAACATTTCTCTTAGCAGTTTAGAACATGTGTTATTGTTTTGGCATGTGGCTGTACTAGTTTTTTTTTTTTTTTGGCTTTTCGAGACAGGGTTTCTCTGTAGCATTTTGGTTCCTGTCCTGGAACTAGCTCTTGTAGACCAGGCTGGCCTCGAACTCACAGAGATCTGCCTGCCTCTGCCTCCCAAGTGCTGGGATTAAAGGCATGTGCCACCACCGCCCGGCTAGATTTTGCTTATTTATCAGTTGATGGACATTTGGATTGTTTCCCCTCTGGCTGCTTTGAGTAATGCTGCTGCTGTGATCATTTATATATGGACTTGTGTTTTCATTTCTTTTGGATATATCCTTAGGCATCTCCCTTTTATTATGCAGTGAATTTCAGACATGTGAGTATTTCATTATGCGTCTCTTTCAGAAAGGACTCTAAATAAACATAACTACAATACTATTATCGCACTTAAAATACTTAATGTTTATAGAGGTTCTTCATGAATTTGTTATGATGAGGGAGGGAGAAGAAAAGGAACAGAGAAACTATTTGAACAAACAAGCAAACAAAACCACAGAAATACTCAAGCTTTTTGTTCTGATAATTGGGGGATGGATTTGTTTTCAGCTGATAGTAAGGGAAGTTGTGGGTAGAAGTGGATTTGGGAGACTCACTTTTTTGGGTAGTGCTGGGATCCAGGATCTGGTGAATGTTTGGCAAGTGCTTTATTGCTGAGCTATACCTCTAGCCCTGAGAAATGAATTTTGAGACTACCTCTTTGTGTGTGTGTGTTTACGCATGTGCACACGCCTAGGAGACCAGAAGAAGAGTACATTAGATCCCTGGTGCTTGAGTTATCGATGGTTATGAGCTACCCAACATGGGTACTGGGAAGTAAACTTGGCTCCTCTGGAAGAGCATTGAGCACTCCTAACAGCTGAACTATCTCTCTAGCCCCTTGAGTAGACTTCTAAACATCCAAGTATTTTGATATGTGAGTCTGGAATTCAGAAGTGAGAACTGTTTGCAATATTATCAACATTAAAATTTGGGTTAAAACCATGAGACTGGCTAGAATTGCTGCAGGGGTGAATGTAGTTAGGAAATAGGCCCCCAGGCACCTCAACATGAAGGAATGGGAACTCAGTGAAAGGGCCTCAGCAGGATCATCCTTTGAGGGAGTGAGAGACACCAGAAGAGGCTTTTCTGGAAGCTGAAGGAAGAAAGGTGAAGAAGAGGGAAGGATCAGCTGGGTGAGCTCAGGCAAATGGATCTATGGGTATCAACACTTTTAGTGTAAATAGCCAAGATTCTTCAAGTGTTACAGGTGTCCATCCTTACTGAAGGCCCACTTCTGGAAGCTTGCATTGAAATTATACTCTTCCTGATAGTCAATCAGGCAGGATTTAGAAAGTCTCTAGGTAAACTCTGCCCTGCATGTCCTCCATTTGACTTACAAGCCAACCTAAACAGATCAGGGGTCATGTGTCTCACACTGACAACCCAAGTCCCACTTTCAAAATTCTTAGCATACAGAAGACACCAGGGTTCTCTTCTGTCCTCACGTACAGTATCATCTCCTGAAGTCTCTCTTACCAAGTATTTGAGTTTCCTGTGAGTCCTATAAGAAATGTCCACAGGCCTGGTAGCATAAAACAACAGAAATTTGATATCTCACAGTTCTGGAGGCCAGGGAAATAAAACCAGAGGGTCAACAAAGCCACACTCCATCTGCAAATTGTACAAGAGCATCCTTCCTGTGTCTTTTAGCTGTTGATGCTGCTGGTGGCTCAGTTGTTCCTTAGTTTGTGGTTATATCAGTCTATTCTCAGCTTCTGTCTTCCCATGCCTGTCTTCCTGTATGTTTTCCTTCTCTCTTCTGTCTCTTGTGTGTATGTGAGGAGCTGGGAATTGAACCCAGGGCCTTGTGTATGCTAGGTAAGTGCTCTACCACTGAACTACATTTCCAGTCCTGTCTCATCTGTCTTTGAGAAGGGTTCTTGTTATTGGGGTGATGGCCCACCCATGTAACTTATGATGATCTCAATTTGAGGGCCTTAATTTTTGTGAGACTGGTTCTTACTACTATGTAGATCAGGCTGGCCTTGAACTTAGAGAGATTTGCTTGACTCTGTCTCCTAAGTGCTGGAATTTAAGGTATGCACTACCATTCTTGACTTGATCCTTAATTTAACCACATCTGTAAAGATCCTTTTTTTTCCAAGTAAAGTCACATTTGTAGGGAAAGAGGACAAGCTATTAAGTCATGGTGGGTAGGGGGAAAAGTGAGCTGTAGGGATCAGTAGGAGTAGGTTTGATCTTTCTTGGGATACAGCAAGCATTTGGTGGTAGGGGATATAGTTTTCCTTTGGGAGAGAAGTTTTTTTTCCCCCCAAGATTGAGTGTGGTCTCTTTTGAAAGGGTGTGGTCAGCTCCAGAGAGAGGACATGTTTGAGTTGCAGGGATTAGGTCATGGATATATGAACCATTCTACTACATTAAGTGAGGGGCCAGGACTCTCTGCTTCTACTTGAAGGTATATGGAGGAGATAGGATTCCCAGTACACTGTCCTTTCCTTCCACAAATAACTCTCCTTTGGAATGGGAATATTTGCTACATCTTAGACCCAGACTCCACTTTTATATTGTACCTGGTTCCACCAGGTAAAATGTCCAGCCTTTTGCTGTGAATTAAAGTCTAGGGCTTCTGTATAGGTTGACAGAATTCTGCTCTGTGTCATGCACTCCTACTGTCTTTTTCTAGATACTGTTTTGTTGGATGAGCAGGCACCTCTGGAAGAATCAGTTGAGTGAGATGGTGCAGCCCAGTGGTGGCCCAGCAGGGGACCAGGACATGCTGGGTGAAGAATCTCTGGGAAAGCCGGCAATGTTACATCTGCCTTCAGAGCAGGGTACTCCCGAGACCCTCCAGCGCTGCCTGGAAGAGAACCAAGAGCTCCGAGGTGAAGGTTGCAGTGTGAGGGAGGCATGGAGTAAAATAGTCAGGAGTGGCCTGGCACACTAAGGACAAAACTTATTTTCACCTGCACCTCATTATTGGTAGGCTATGAGGCCATGATTTGCTTAAGAACCAGCCATCTTAGCCATCTTCCTGCTTGGTTTCAGGTGGGGTTCTCTGTGAAGATTCACATATAGGAAATAATGTGGTTCAGGGCCAGCACCAGGAAGGGGGAAGGAGACGGGAAAGGGGAAAGAGGACAAGCTGAGAAGCCATGGTGGGTAGGGGGGAAAAGTGGGCTATATGGATCAATGGGAGTAGGTTTCATCTTTCTCAGGACACAGCAAGCTTTAAGGTGGGAGAGAATATGGTTTTCCTTGGGAGAGAGAGGGTTTTGTCCTAAGATGTGGTGTGGCCTGCTCTTGGAAGGGCATGGTCAGCTCTGGTGATAAGAGGTCTTTGAGTGTGTCTCCCGCACAGGCAGCCTGTCCTTTCTCATGCCACCCTCATTTTTGCAAGGTGGTTGTTAACTGTTATTGAATATGCAGCTGAAGATGATGAAACTCAGATATTACTAACTTGTTCTGTCTGCACCTTCTGGACTCCCAGGCTGTAGCCAGAAGCTACACAGTGAGATTTGTCTTGGGGACTGTCTCCCTACCTCCCCAAGTCTGTAGGCATGTTTAGCATCCCCTGATCTTGAAGACAGAGATGCAGGCCTGGGAGACTGGAACTGAGTGCTCCAGGGTAGGGTTACCTCCAACTGACCGGAATATAAATGAAGTACTTAAAAAGAAAGCTGCATTTGATGTATCCCTTCAAGTGAAGATGATGTGTTTAGTAATGCATTGCAGACACTTGGGAGCATATCATCAGTGGAATTGATTTGACTTCTTTGAGAAAGGCCACCTGGTATTACGGGAGTGCCTGGCTGTCAGGACCCATATCTCCTTTGCTGTCTTCCCTGTCCCCAGATGCCATCCGGCAGAGCAATCAGATGCTAAGAGAATGCTGTGAGGAGCTGCTGCATTTCCAGGTCAGCCAGCGGGAGGAGAAGGAGTTCCTCATGTGCAAATTCCAGGAAGCCAGGAAGCTGGTAGAGAGACTAAGCATGGAGAAGCTTGACCTGCACAGACAGAGGGAACAGGCCTTAAAGGATTTGGAGCACCTGAAGAAATGCCAGCAGGTAATTGGTGGGTGGGCAGGCCCTTCTGCCTCACTTGTGTTTGAAGACTGTAATAACATGCATATTCTCATAGGAGGCATGTTGTTGGGAGTCCCCCCAGGACCTCTTCTGGCTTGATTGGTAGGGGCACTTTGAGAATCAAGAGAAGCCATCACACTCATTGTTAGTTTATTACATTGAAAGGGTCCACATTTAAATTATCCAAGGTACAAGGCAAGTAGGGCAGGAGCCAGGAGAGGACAGATGTGAGCCTCTCAGGGAGCAGTGCTTTTGCTGTGGGCGGTGGGGACAGTGTACATGGAGCAATGTCACGCAGGAAGCATGCCTATGTCTTGGGTTTATATTGGGCTCACTTATGAAGGCATGGAGTGCTTGGGTACCTGACCCAGCTTGCTTAGGTCCTAGCCACCCTGAAGTCCAGCTGGCACCATACCATGTTTCTAAGGCCCTCACTTATACCCTGCCATCAGCCCAGACAGCCTAGACCCTTGTTAAACCAAGGCACTCTCATCAGGCAGGATTTCCCAGGGGACTCAGAGATGATCCTCAGGAGCCTTTGGAGAAGTATATGGTTCCAGGCCTTTAAGTTGGCCCTTGTATTGCATTGTCCCCAAAGGATGGTGTGCTTAGTGTGGGATGACAGGGTATTTTGGGGCCATTTGGATCAGCAGATTTCAGGACCCCAGTGATAGTAGTTGAGCAGGGATTATGGATCTGGCACGGGTAATCCTGGAAGAAAGGTTAGGGAAGACCTGCCAGAGTCAGGTTTTTATAATATAGGGCTAAGTTCACAGTGCTGCTGGGAGTGCCTGGTCAAAGCATTTGGTTTCTATCTAGGGAGACAGCAGCAAGGTACCACATACTTGGGGCTTTGGTAACAGATTGTCCCCAGTTTTGGAGGTTAGAGGTCTAGGATGGAGGTATGGGTAGGTTCCTCACAAGGGCTATTCCAGGTACTTCTCCAAGTGTATTATCAGTGTTGGCAGTCCTTGGTGCGCCCCAGCTCTCTTGTCACATGGTCTTTTCTTCTTCTCTTAAAATTTTTATTACATTTTATTTTGTGTAGTGTGTGTGTCTGTGCAAGCACTCACACATGTGGGCATGTATATGTCATGTTGTGTACATGTAGGTCAGAGGACAACTTGCAGGAATCAGTTTTCTTTCTACCATATATGTCCCAGGGATTGAATGCAGGTTGTCAGGCTTCATGACGGGCATCTTTACCTGCTGAGACGTGCTGAGCTGTCTCAAAATCCTCCTCTTTTTTAATAAGGATACCAATGTGAAACATAAAGGTGGACAGTTGTTAAAGTCATGGAAACAGGTTTTTTTTTTCAGAAACTGATATCAGTGAGAGGGAAAGGGCTAGCTGAGCTCTGGTGGGTGATCTGCAAAGGTGACTGGGTATTTTATCTTAAGATTTATTTTTATTGATGTGTTTGGATGTTTGTGTCTGTCTGTGTATGTAATGTGTGCAGATGCCCCTTGGAGGTCAGAAGGGAGTGTCAAATCCCCTTGAATTGGAATTCCAGGTAGCTGTAAGCTACTAGATGGTCATGGTGCTAGGAACTAAATTCTGATCTTCTAAAAAGCAGCAAGTACTCTTCTTAACCACTAAGTCATCTCTTTACCTAATGACCGGGAATTTTAAAATAAGAATAGGGACCAGAGTGTGGTTCAGTACATGTACTTGCATGTGTAAGGCCTGGAATTCAGTTTCCAGTACTTCAAAAAATAAGACAAAGACAGAAATAGAGGTAGAAAGAAAATGAAGGATTTGGGCAGGAGAAGGAGCTCAAGTGAATGACAAAGGGAATTAGTGTCAATGTAATGAGTTCAGTGTATTTACAGTCTTGTACAATCAAATGTAGGATTTTACTATACCATGAGACTGGGAGTCTGAGTCCTATCCTTTCTGATGATTTCATTTCAAAGGAGTGGCATTCAGGTTTTTGAGACAGGGTTAGGACCTTAGGAAATACGTGGACTTTGAGAGGGATAGAGGAAGGAGTCATGACTGGTAGTACTTATTAGCCTTCCAGCCTATGTAGTGTTGGCTAAAATAGTTCCTTTAACAGCTCTCAGTATTTGCAAGTAGGAACTAGGAAGGGGCCTGAGACATTCTAGGAATGTGATCTTAAGCTGTTTGAAGATATATTAAGGTTTGGTCAACCTTAAAGTTTGGCTGAGCTGAGTATAGTTTAATCTCAGCACTCAGGACAGATTGTGGGAGTTGAGTTAAAGATCAAAATCAGGTCATGGGCCTTGGTGGCAAGTACCTTTACCCGATGAGTCTTCTTGCTGGTTCAGCTCTTAGTATTTAAAAAAATTCAGTATTTTCTTCCATTTTTTAAAATGAGACTTCTTACCTGTTGTGTATATAGACTAGGTTGTTAATTTTTGTGGATGTCTTTGAGTCTGGTCTCCTTTTACAGAGTTTCAAAGAGACTGAGAAAGGTTCACTATCAGCTGACAGTCTAGGTTGGTGACTTGGGGAGGACAGATAGCTATTGGGCTAATGAGGCTCCAATATACCTAGGTTTATAGGTGTAACATGGAGGGGCCAGGCCTGCTTGTTTGTTGTTGTGGTTTTTGTCCTGCCCAGTTCCCCAGCTGTTTATCCCCAAAGAAAATCACACATAGGTCTCCATAAATTATAAGCTGATTGGCCCATTAGCTCTAGCCTCTCACTGGCTAACTCTCACATCTTGATTAACCCATTTTTCTGATCTATGTTAGCCATGTGGTTCAGTACCTTTTTTCAGTGGGGCATATCCCATCCTGCTGCTTTGGTGGTCTGGGCAGGAGTGGGAGGAATCAACTTCCTCCTTTCCAGAATTCTCCTGTTCTCATTACATCATTTCTACTTCCTGTCTGGTTTTCCCACCTGTATTTCCTGCCTGGCCAATCAGCGTTTATTTATAACATGATTGACAGAATACAGACAATTCTCCTGTACCAAATAGGTACTAAGGGGCAGGAGAATCCCTTAGTACATCAGCTGCTTGCAGACTGCCTCGGGTCTTGTGGATGCTAAAAGTGGGCATCGTGGGAGAAAGTAGTACTGATAGGAAATGACCTTTTTTCTTGCAGCAGATGGCTGAGGACAAGGCCTCTGTGAAAGCCCAGGTGACATCATTACTGGGGGAACTCCAGGAAAGCCAGAGTCGCTTGGAGGTTGCCACCAAAGAACGGCAAACTTTAGAGGGAAGGTGAGTGGGGAGGGGAATCTAGCCCAGGAGGCCCTTTCCAGGGTTTTGAATGAGGCAAATGTAGGAGCCCCTAGGAGTTCCTCTGATTTCCTGGGGCCCTCAGGGTGGCCCTGGTCCAACATCTATGAATCTAGTTCCACTTTTGTTTCCACTATCCGACCCTTTATTGTGTTCTTAGTTAGGGTTTCTATTGCTGTGAAGAGACACCATGATCATGGAAACTCTTATAAGGAAAACATTTAATTGGAGCTTGCTTACATTCAGAGGTTTAGTTGATTATCATCATGTCAGGAAGTGTGGCAGCATGCAGGCAGACATAGTGCTGGAGAAGGAATTAAGACTTCTGCATCTGGATTGGCAGGCAGCAGGAAGAGATAATGAGTCACTGGGTCTGACTTGAGCTTCTAACACCTCAAAGCCCACTCCAGTAACATACTTTCTCCAACAAGGCCACACCTACTCCAACGTGGCCACATGTCCTAATCTTTTCAAATAATGCTGCTCCATATGAGCCTATGAGGGCTATTTTCATTCAAACCATTACATTCAGGATCAGTTTATTCTTTAGGAACCATTGCAGGGCCCCCTAAAACTACACGCAAGATCTCACTAATCAGACTAAAGTTTATCATGGGAAAGGCATGCAATGGGATTCTACCAAGGCAGAATGTCCTAGATGAAGAAGACTGAATACATTTTACTCCTATGAACAGCACGGAGCACCCATGAGCTATTTCTAACTAGAGACTGTGAACCCCATGTTTCTGTTGGGAGTTGATCACATTGGCAGAAAAGAGTGTTTGATTAGGTCTTGCCAAGGGTTGCCACGTGAGACCATGTCACAGACATGGGCATTTTTGTGCCTATCTCATTGCCTTGTTGCTGTCCTCCAGATAGTTGGTGAAGGGTAGTCTTGGCCTTTTCAGTACAGTAGGTAGTCATTATGTTTGTGAAGCAGTGGGTTGGGGCTTCTGTCCTGTGGAAGGGAGGACAGTTCGACTTGGGCTCAGAGACCACTAGTTGTGGTGGCTAGGGGACGAACAATGTGAGCAAAAGCCAAAGGGGAGCAGGCCCAGTAGTCTAGATTTGCCTTGGCAAAGTTGAGGTGACATGCGGTCAGAGGCTACTTCAGAGGCCCATGGATATGCCCATTATTGCCTTTGTAATGGATACATAGGGAGGTACCAGGGTGATGAGGCTAGTGCTTGGGGTCTGGGGTTTAAGGGAAACTGTGGGGTACTGTGGACCAGGATCAGAAGATGTAGGGACTATGGGTGATATAGGTGAGACAACTTAAAGCTTTTACAGTGAGAGAGTATAGAGGGAGAGATGAATTCTCTTGAGACTTTGATGCCATCTTCTGTTCCATGAGGCTGTATACCCCAGGTATGGAACTTGAGCCTCCAATGAGGGTGCCTGGGACTCTGAACAGTCTCTTGACATCACTTTACCCAGACTGTTTTGGCATCTTCCCAGTGACTCCTCCCACCTGGTCCCAGCAGCAGCTTGGGGTGCAGGTACCTAAATCCCCTTCCTAGTTTATCTCCTTGCCAACTGCATGTGATTGTCTGTTGGGCATAAGAAGCAAACAGATGTCAGGAGATGTTTCTTTTTATTTATTATATGTGTCTTTTATATCATGTATCTTTATTATGTGTCCAACATTCTTTCCATGTATGCTCGCATGCCAGAAGAGGGCACCAGATCTCATTACAGATGGTTGTGAGCCACCATGTGGTTGCTGGGAATTGAACTCAGGACCTTTGGAAGAGCAGTCAGTGCTCTTAACCTCTGAGCCTTCTCTCCAGCCCCTACATCATGTATCTTGATCCCATTTATTTCCCTGTTCCTTTTGATCCTCCTTTCTCCCCTGCACCCCCAAATAAAACAACATTTAAGAGAAAAAAGGAAAAAAAATTAAAAAGGGAAAGAATTAAAAATTTCATCATGGAAGCTGCAGTGTGACACAGTGAATCACAACATAAATCCCTTTGTTCATATATCGTTATTTGCAAGTGTTCATTGCAAAGAGTCACTGGTCTGGTTTGAGGCTTTTGGTTTCCACTACATTATCAATGCTGGGCCCTCACTAGGACTCCTCTTGGATATCCTATTGTCACCCTGTGCCGTGGAGATCCTTCAGCATTGGGTGTCTGGGTCAGGTCCCTTCACGTGCTCCAGCAGATCAAAGATGGGTGGATGTTGGGGTGGGCCAACTCATAACCCTGGATCTGGGCCTGGGCAGTTGTAGGGTTGATCTGCCAGCTAGTTCTCCCCTGTCCTCACCACCAGCACTGCCCTGGCTAATTCACCTCTTTCAGCAATGAGCAAGGGTGGGGCCAGTTTTCCTGTTTTCATGCCCTCAGGATCAGCTCTCTCACACTGACACTGTTAGGGCCAGCTCTTGTGTTGCCAGGGGCCTCTCTCCTAAGTACTGCTGCTGATGAGGAGTGGGAACAGCTTTTCTCTCTTATGACCCCAGGGTCAGCTCCTCCACACTTCTCAAGTGTTAATGGGCCGGAGGTGGGGCTACCACATGCCAAATGAGGAATGAGGGCAGCTCTCCCTTGCTCATAACATCAGGGTTGGGTCACCCTCACCTTCAGCCACTGGGCATCTCTTCTGTGCTGCCTAGGCAAGGGGCAGGGACTGTTAACTAAGTGCTACAGCTGGTAAGGGGGAGGGTCAGCTCTCTTGTCTGTTGGAGGTGGTAAGGGGCAAGAGGTAAAGGGGGGGCATCTTTCACCCTCCCACATCGTCACACGACAGGCAAGTAGTGGGGATAGCTCTCCCATGCTTACAACTTTGGGGCCGTCTCACCCACACCTCTGCCAACCAGGTTGGCTCTATTGTGTTACCCAGTTGAGGTATAGGGCCTGCTCTCTTAAGCGTTGTAACTGGTGAGGGGCAGGGATAGCTTTCACACTCTTAATGACTTCAGGGCCATTTCCAGGAGATGCTTCTTTTTTCTGGGTGCCATGGTTCTTTTACTTTGCCACCAGAATTAGTTCTCGGACACTGGCTATTCAGGACTTGACCCCTTCCCCAGGCTGCCTTGTTCCAGCCACCTCTGTGTTCTTTTTTGTTGTATGTCAGGATGCGAGCTGTTAGTGAGCAGGTTAGACAGCTGGAGAGTGAACGGGAGGTGCTGCAGCAGCAGCACAGCGTGCAGGTGGACCAGCTGCGCATGCAGAACCAGAGTGTGGATGCTGCCCTGCGAATGGAGCGTCAGGCTGCTTTAGAGGAGAAGTGAGTGGCTGGGAGGGTCGGAACCAAGAGATTTCAGAGCACCCATGGTGCTTTCTGTCTTTTGGGGAGTCCTGGTAGGGATTGGCTGTGTTTAGAAGAGCTGACTTTCTCCCTTTGCCTTGCTAATGAAAGAGTCAACTATTATTATGTAAACAGAAATATTTTCCATTCATATTCATAGTTTACTATATGTCCTACACAGGCTTTTTTTATTTTTTAAATTTATTTATTTATTAAGGATTTCTGCCTCGTCCCCGCAACCGCTTCCCATTTCCCTCCCCCTCTACACAGGTTTTTTTTTTCATCACAGTTGAAGTATGCTCTTGGTGTAAGGAAAGCAAGGAATCATGGTGCCTCAAGCTGGCCCTAAAGACTCATCTGGGCCCACAATCTGTGCACAGGCTCTAAACATGCTATTGGCATCTGGTTCAGCTTCCATTTGAGTTTTCTTTAATTTAGAACAATTTCCCTGCCTCTTTGTTTTCTACAGAGTGCAGTCAAGTGCTGTTTTATTATAAACATTTCACCCATTTATTTTCTTTTTGGTGCTAGAAATGGAGCGTTGGACCTCAAGCACACTAGCCAAAGGTTCTACTCCTGAGTTGTACCCTAGCCCTTGTTAGAAACACCCCAAGATGTTGGCTTTAAGGAAACATGAACTATGTAGCATCCAAATCAGTTACACTGTATTCTTGTAGTAAGCAAAGCCAACCTTAGAGTTGACGGCCTCAGGAGTCCACATGTAATCCAGGAAGCCCACATTTCAGGTCTTTTGTGGGACAAGAAGAAAGAGGGGGAAGCTGTACCAGGCAAGCTGTTTCTTCAGTGACAGCTCCTTTTGTACAGGAGGAAACTGGCTCAGTTGCAGGCAGCCTATCACCAGCTCTTCCAAGATTATGACAGTCACATCAAGAGCAGCAAGGTGAGTGGAGAGCACAAGCTAGTAAGTATGGCTGCCCTGGGCTGTCCAGGGAAAGATTTTTCCCTTCTTCTCCCATGTACTTGAAGGGGAGCAATGGGACCTTTGAGATGTAGCTCATCTAACTTTTGGAAGGGACTCTCAAATTGCCTGACACCTTCATTAGGGCTGCAGCTCTGACAGTTTAGAGATGGCCACAAGAAGATGGGATGCATCCATAGGACCTTCAAATACTCAGTTTATAGAGTAAGGATGCTTTTCTGCATGGTCATTCCTTCATGCTCAGAGCCAGGAGGGAAGTCTCAGAAACATTTCTTTTTCTCTTAAAACATTTTTTTATTATTTTTTTATTGAAGAAAAAAAAATTTCTGCCTCCTCCCAGCCTCCCATTTCCCCCCCTCCTCCCACTCCTCTCCCCCTCCCTCTCCAGTCTGAAGAGCAGTCAGGGTTCCCTGCCCTGTTCTTAAAACATTTTTTATACTTATTTATTTTATGTATAGAAATGTTTGCTTGCGTATATGTATGTGCACTAAGTGTGTGCTTGGTACCTTTGGAAGACAGGAAAGAATGATGGATTCCTTGGAACTGGAGTTACAGATGGTTGTGAACACCTTGTGGGTTCTGGGAACTGAACCTGGGTCCTCTCCAGCAGCACCAAGTGTTTTTGACTGCTGAGCCGTCTTTCCAGCCTCTTCTTTCATCCCCCAGAAACATTTCTAGGATGATTTGGAGCTCTTTGGTAGTTTATCTTCATCAACCCTAAGCTGGGCACAGTTTCTAGTGTTCACTTTGTACGTATGCATATGTATTAATGTATGTAGAATTCAGAGGATGACATTGGTGTTATTCCTTAGGAGCTATACATGTTCAGCTCTTTTTCTTACATTGGTTCTGGGGCTTGAATTCTGAACTGACTGAACTATCTTCATAGCCTATTCTTTTGTGTTTTTTTAATGACAGGGTCCTATATAACCCAGGCTGGACTTGAACTCTTAAGTGGTTGAGACTGGCCTTGAACTCCTGATTCTCTTGCCTCCATCTTCCATGTGCCTAGATAACAAGTGTGTGCCATGATGACTAGTTTTCTAGTGGTCACATTTTCCCCCATAATAAAGTTTATTAGCTGTTCTTTTTCTCCTAAATAGAATGGATAATGTTGGTAATTCTTTACATCCTAGTGCTCATATAAGACATTTTAACAAGGTTATCAAAAGCTCACATATTGATGCTGGCTGTGATGGCACACACCTTTAATCCCAGCACTCAGGAGGCTGAGGCAGACAGATCTCTGTGCATTCGAGGCTAGCCTGCTCTACATAGTAAGTTCCAGGATAGTCAGGGCTATAGAAAGAGGTCCTGTCTCAAAACAAAACAACTCCCCTCCCCAAACAACCCCCCAGTTGAATTAACAACTCCAGAGAGCAGTGGGAAGCCAAATGGTATTAACAGATTAGAGAAACTGCTTTCTGAAAGCATTTCTGACTCTCAGTAAATTTCTTAGAATTGTTTACCATAAAGATCTGTGCAGTTCTAGTTCAGTGCAGCTATGCAAGATGAAGGGATTCACAAAAATGGAGTATATCTGTTTTCCCATGAATAAAATGAGAACTAGATGGAAAGGCAGTTGGACAAAATCAAACCCCATGATGTGTGTGTGTGTGTGTGTGTGTGTATTACAACTGTATAAAAATAATTCTTATAGTTGCAGAGTTTAGTTAAATTTTTGTATTTTTATATATATTTTATTATAACATAACCAGTTGTGGTTAAAACAGTCATTAAAATCTAACCCCTCCCTAAACATGCATTTAAAATTTTAGACTATGAACTGGGTGTTTCCACTGCCATAATGATTACTACATCTCCATGAAAACATTTTTTCATCTGCAGTTACAACTATGAATTTTTTTACCTTCTGTGAAAAGGTGAGCTCTTCTAGCCCTTAAATATGGCCTTAATTCAGAAAGTGTATGAACAACTTTTGAAAGACACTATAGTATTACACAAGTAGATTAAAAATATTTGAATACTATTATTCCTAGCAAATACATTAAGGGAGGGCTCAAATAATAAAAGCATGAAGACCTCTCTTCATGAAAAATTTATTATGAAATGAGTTAACTCAGATATTAATTTAAAAATAAAAACTTACGTTTTCTTATTTGCCTAAAATTTAAATAATTACTTTAATAATAGAAGTCAAATGAGAAAAAACTTGAAAGCTAACACAAAATTGTGCATAGTTACTCAAGTTAATGGTCACATTTTAAGAAGGACATTGTCATCCATAATGTACCCAGAGATATATAAATATTAAGCATAAAACTAGGTCACATGATGAAGAACTGTAAATAGCTGCTTAAGGGATTAGTAAGATGGTTTAATGGTTAAGAGCACTTGTTTTTTTTAGAGGACCCAAGTTCAGTTCCTAGCACCCACATCAGGTGGCTAATAGTCACCTGTGACTCCAGCTGTGGGGGATCTGATACTATCTCTGACTTCTGTGGGTACCTGCACACATGTGGCACACATACACACATATGTAAATTAAGAATCGTTTTTTAAAATTATTTTTCATCTATTTCCATCTATTTTACATTGTGGCTACAGACTCCCTTTTATCCTCCCCACCCAGGCCCTCTCCTATCCCTCCCTCCCATCCCCAATCCCCTCCTCTTCTGTCTCCGTCCAGGAAAGGACAGGTCTCCCATGAGTATCAATAAAACATGGCATATCAAGTTGCAGAAAGACTAAGTACCTCCCCATGTATTAAAGCTGGGCAAGACAATGCAGTATGAGGAGTAGGGTTCCAAAAGCTAGTAAGAGAGTCAGAGACAGTCCCTATTCCTACTGTTAGGAATCTCATAAGAGGACCAAGCTACCTCGGTCAGTCCCTTGCAGGCTCCCTGTTTGTCAGTTTAGTCTCTGTAAGCACCTATGAATCCAGTTTAGTTGATTGTGTGAGCCTTCCTGTGATGTCCTTAACCCCTCTGGCTCCTATACTCTTTCCTCCCCTTCTGCAGGATTCTTGAACTCCACCTAATGTTTGGCTGTGGGTCAGTTGCTGGATGATACCTCTCCGATGACTATTGGGCCAGACACCAATCTGGTCACAGCAGATGGCCAGTTCAGGCTACTTATCCACTATTGCTAGGAGTCTAAGCTGTGGTCCTCCCTGTAGACTCCTGGGAGATCCCCCTGCTCCAGGCTTCCACCTGACTCCCAAATGTTCCCCCAGCAGTCCCTCTCAGTACTCTCTTCCTCCGTGCCCCTTCCAACCTGATCACTCATGTTCCCATCCCCACCCATCCTCAGTTCACTCATGAAATCTCTTGCCAGGGAGATTTGGGTTGTAGCATGAATTCTAATTGGTCTTAATAAATAAACCCAGAGTCAGATTTTAGGGAATTATTATAATAATTATTTTATAATTAATAATAATAATAATAAATATATGCAATTAATATTAGCTGAGAGATCAGGGAAGCAGTGTGGCCAGCCACTAGAGACACCTTTTCCTTTTACCAATGCTCAGACCGAAGGGGCAATCCTGTCCTCAAATTGTCTCTTCAGACTGCCCGTTTCCACCAAACCTGAGACTGCTTTGAGCTCCTGTCTCCTCCCGCCTTGTATTCCTCTCTCCGCCCAGCCATATCAGTCCTGTCTCCACTTCCCTAATGCTGGAATTAAAGGTGTGGGATCCCAAGAGCTAGGATTTCCTTTGTGTGAGTTCTGTTTGTCTTTTAGACAGAATCAGTCTTGTTGTTGTTTAGGGTGGCCTTGAACTAACAGACCCCTCTGCTAACTTCTGGGATTAAAGGTGTGTGCCACCACTCCCTGGCCTCTAGTGGCTTAGCTTTGCACTCTGATCTCCAGGCAAGCTCTATTTGTTAAAACATAAATAACTTATCACTGCACTGGGTGTCCCCCATGAACTCTCCTTGTTAGCTAGTCTCTCTGGGTCTGTGGATTGCAACATAGTTATCCTTTATTCTATAGCTAATAACCAACTAGGAGTGAGTACATAATATGTTGTCTTTCTCCGTCTGGGTTATTACACAAAATACAAACAGAAGGAACATTGCCAAATTCTTTCTATGAGGCCACAGTCACCCTGATATTCAAACCACACTAAAATTCAAGAAAGAAAGAGAATTGCAGACCTATTTCACTCACGAATATTGATGCAAAAATACTCAATACTGGCAAGCCAAATCCAAGAACACATCAAAAAGATCATCCACTGTGGCTGAGAAAATCTTTTACAAATAGCTGCTTAATCTCTGGAGGGAATTATTGTTTGAGAGCATGGGTGCATATGTATTTTGTGTGTGTGTGTGCTGTGTGTGTGTGTGTGTGTGTGAAAGAGAGAGAGAAAGAGAGAGAGAGAGAGAGAGAGAGAGAGAGAGAGAGAGAGAGAAGCAGACCTTTGACCAAGTGGCAGAGTGGAAGAAGCAGTGGGTTGCAGCCTTTTGCAGCCTTGTCTGGTGTATGGTGGGCCTGCAGTATGTACAGCGTTACTGCATAGTACTTACTCACTTTGGAGTGGGAAGCCTTAGAAGAGAGGATGGCTCCTGTCCTTGAAGAGTTAAGAGGAAGGCTGCCTAGCTGGAAATTCTCTGAAGGGGATGACGCAGAGTAGGAGGCAGTGCTTTATATATCCTCAAAGTTCTTATCAGTCCTAAGATCTTTGTGCATCCTAAGAAAGACCTCGGCATTTCTTCTGTATTAAAGGGCCACAGCAGGATGCAGCCTTCTCCCTGCACACATTGAGATTTTGACATTTGCCCCGAAGTCCAAAGGACTGGCTTTGCTCCAGCTTTTCCTTCTTAGTTCTCAGAACAGTGGCCAGCCAGGGAAGTAGTTTGGCCCCACTGTGGGCCAAGAGACTCTGCCTTTTGTCCTCTCTAGGGCATGCAGCTAGAAGATCTGAGGCAACAGCTCCAGCAAGCTGAGGAGGCCCTGGTAGCCAAACAGGAATTGATTGATAAGCTGAAAGAAGAGGCTGAGCAGCACAAGATTATGATGGAGACTGTGCCAGTCCTGAAGGCCCAGGTGAGAGCTCTGCTCCTGCCTGCCTGTCACATGAGTGGCCTACTGTTCCAGGCAGTGGGGTCTGGTGTACCCCTTTGGCATCATTTTTGGTGGTCTCTTTTAGTCTTCGTGAGTCCTTCGCACCTCCTTTGAGTCTTTGACCTCTTGGTGCCCTTGGGATCACGGGCTTTCATATCTGTTCCTGGTGTACTATCATGTGATCTTTGGGGACGGGACAAGACTCTGTTCCTCTGGGGGCATGGCATAGAATGCTTGATAGGCAGCTGATGGATGATTGACATACTTTTCTTCTATTTGCCAGGCGGATATCTACAAGGCTGACTTCCAAGCTGAGAGGCATGCCCGGGAAAAGCTGGTGGAGAAGAAGGAGCTTTTGCAGGAGCAGCTGGAGCAGCTGCAGCGCGAGTTCAGCAAACTGAAGGCTGGCTGCCATGAGTCAGCCAGGTGGGCCTCTAAGAGTACAGACAGGAGCACAGCCACACACAAAACAGGCATATACTAGCATTAACCAGAAGTAGCTACAGGAGGTTGATGGCTCTTGGTGTTTGTGTTAAGTTCCCTGTACCTCTTTCTGCTCTCCCTGTGTCTTGTCCTTTCAACAGTGACCTTTCACACTTATCCAGTTAGAAACTTCACTGAAATGCATGTATTGAGAGGTATCTAAGGCTGGAGTTTTTGTGGGGATATATTAGGTTTCATAGTGTCTTAGTTTGGTTTCTATTGGTAATAAACACCATGACCAAAAACAACTTGGGGAGGAAAGGGTTTATTTTAGCTTACAGTTTATAATCCATTATGGAAAGAAGTCAGGGCTAGAATCTGGAGGCAGAAACTGAAGCATAGGTCACAGGGGAATGCTATTTACTGGCTTGCTCAGCTTGCTTTCTTATATAACCCAGGCCCAGAAGTCTAGGGGTTGCACCACCCACAGTAGGCTGGGCATCCTACATTCATTTTTAATCAAGAAAAAGCCCCCACAAACTTACCTACAATTTATTTGAGACAGTTCCTTAATTGAGATTCTCTTTTTCCAGTTTGTGTTGTCAAAAGCCAATCAGCACGATTAACCCCTTGTCAACTTGACATACAAACACACCACTATTAAACCATAACCTTTCCTTACTTGTTTGTCCTCCAATTCATGTTAAAAATCACAATATAAAACATAAATTTAGAATAGGCTTGGTGATATATGCCTTTAATTATAACACTTGGGAGGCAGATGAAACTGAGTTTGAGGCCATCGTGGTCTACAGAGTGAGTTTCAGGACAGCCAGGACTGTTACACAAAGAAACTATGTCTCAATAACCAAAAAACAACCAAAAAACCCCCATAAATGTCTTTAAAACATTCCACCACTCATTAAAAAAATAAATGTCTCTGTAAACGTCTAAATGGGCTCCTATAAAATAATAAGTTACATATTTTCTTACTCTAAGAATGAAGAGCCATGGCACAGTCACAATCAAATAAAAAAGCAACGCCAAAATTCAACAGTGTAAATTCAATGCTTGATGTCTAGGACCCACACTCATGATCCTCTGAGCTCCAAAGGGCTTGGGCAGCTATACCTCTCTGGCTTTGCCATTTATAGTACACATAGCTTGTCTCATAAGCTCAGGTTGGCTTTGCTCCACAGCTTTTGCTGTTCTTGTCTCATGGTACTGGAATCTCCAATATGCTGGGGTCTCCACTGCTCTGAGGATGCACCTTCACCAATAGCTTCTCCTGACCTTTCAAGTAGTGCCAAGCCTCAGCTACTTTTCATGACCCCTTCATATTACCCTGTTTGACTGATAGCATGAGATACAGCCTTGGCCATATCTGGACCAGAGCTTCATTGTCCTAACCCTGAGGAGATACTCTCTAGATTTTAGAGTCTAGAAGAGTTCGCCTCAATCATGCTAGTCTTTTCTTGATCATAGCTGCTTTATCAGCTTCAGTTAACCAGCATCAAGTATCCCAGGAAAGGTTTTTACTTCAGTGCTTCTGGTTTCTTGTTCATCCCACCTGATTCTTCAGCACCAGCTGACCAGAACTACAGATTCTTAATTCAAAATACCACATATATGGCCATGATAGAATCTTTGCTTCCCTCTGAAACTTCACAAGCTAGGCCTTTATCATCTGCATTGCTCTTAGTATTCTTATCTTCCTGGCTCCCAAAGAACAGTCCATAAAGTTCTAACTACTTAATGGCATTTCCAGCCCAAAGTTCCAAAGTCCTTCCACAATCTTCCAGAAAACAACATGGCCAGGTCTGTCTTAGCAGTTCCCCAAGAGCCTGGTACTAATGTCTGTCTTAGTTTGGTTACTGTTGCTGTGATAAACACCAAGATTAAAAACAACTTGGAGAGGAAAGAGTTTATTTCAGCTTGTAGTTAATCATGGGGAAGTCAGGGCAGGAACTTGAAGCAGAAATCATGGAGGAACTGCTTTTTGGCTTGTTCTTCATGGCTTGCTCATCTTGCTTTCTTATACAGCCCAGGTGCTTACCCAATGGGTGGCACCATCCCAAGTAAACTAGGCCCTCCCACATCAATTATCAATGGAGAAAATGCCCTTCAGGCTTGCCTCCAGGTCAATCTAATGGGGACATTTACTCAGTTGAGGTTTTCTTTTATCAGATACTTCAGTTTGAGTCAAATTGATAAAAATAAAACAATAAATTAAAGAACCTAACCAGTACAAATAGAATTCCCTCAAATTTCTCTCTACCTAAAACCTCAGAATCTGACCTCATTTGGAAATAGTATCTTTGCATATGTAATTAGTTAACATAAGGTCACATCAGGTTAATTAATTGGCTGTGGTCCTTATAGAAACATCACATTAAGATACAGAAGGCATCCCCAAGAAGGCCAGGGCCAACACTGGGATTCCGCTACTAGCCAAGAAATGCCAAGGAGTCATTTAACTACCACCAGTAGAGGAGAGCATGGTACTTCTGTCCAGTTCTCTGACATGTTGATTTAGGGCACCTGCTTGCATCGAGTACATTTTTGTTATTTTAAGCCACTAGGTATGTGGTAGTTTGTAGTGAGGTTCTGAGGAAACTGATGGGGGGAACCCAAGAGTAATTGTTAATAAGTACAAAGTTTCCTTTGGGAGATGAAAAGATTCTAAAGTTATACAGATGATATATGGACATGCTAAATATAGTAAAAATAAGTGAACAATACAGATTAAATTGGTGAATTATATGGTGTATGAATTATATCTCAATGAAGGTGTTTATTCATTAAAAAACCCTGCAGGCATCGATTGAATGGTTTTTGTTTTCAAAGGATTGAGGACATGAGGAAGCGGCATGTAGAGACTTCTCAGCCCCCTTTACTCCCTGCATCAGGTGAGTGAGCAGGTTGTAGATGGTGGAGGAGATGGACAGGAAGGGCAGAATATTGTGCTGAGGGAAAGCATGCATTAACCTCCCTGCTGCTTTCATTTGGGGGAGCTCCTGTTGGCTACCCCCATCAGTAGCCTGCACCACCTTGAGGCAAAAGGAGGAATGTCCTGGTAGAGATGGTTACCAGCCACACATATAGTCAAATATGGTGGGATCAGTAAGTTTCAATACCTTGTTAGCCTCTCCTTCCTTTTGAGGTCTACCCAGTCTGTGCATGAAGCCTACCGAGCTGGCCTCTGTTCTTTTTTTTTCTCAGCTCACCATTCCTTTCATCTGACCTTACCCAACCAGCGGAGAAGCCCTCCTGAGGAACCACCTGACATGCGTTGTCCCAATTGCCAGTATCAGGCTCCTGATATGGACACTCTACAGATACATGTCATGGAGTGCATAGAGTAGAAGCAGCAGATGTAAGGCCACTTGTAATACCATGTCCTGTACTATGCAACTTATGCTTTCCTGTTTCACCTGCATAGTCCACAATTAAGGGCTTGATCTCAAAGAGCTGGCCCTAGGACCTAGCAGGACCCTTGCCTTAGCTCTTTGGTCTGCTAGTTCCTCACTAGGGTAGACAGCCCTAGTCAGGAATTTTTTTTCCGTTTTTTTCTATGTGCCTGAGCCACTTGCCTCTGCTAGCTTCTTCCTCCCTCTTTTCCCATTCTCCTAGGGGGTCTAGAATGGAGGCCAGAGGCTCTCAGGGAGCACCCTTTCTCTAAGCAGGACTGGGTGCAGCTCTTCCTCCAGCTGGTACCTTTCTTGCCCTGAGCTGCAGGCTGTTCTCCCAGGGCATATGGCACGTAAGGCCATAACATGTGTTGCCTCTGATGGACATTTGGGAAGTATTCTGTCTTTTGCTACTGTAAGTAACGGTGCAGTGAAAGTACTTGTGCACTGATCTGTGTGTACCTTTAAGACATATGCTTAGACGTAGCATTGAGCCTTGCCTTGGAGGAGGTTGGTGGACCTTTGTGTTTCTGCCATCTGCTAGACATGCTGTTTTTTTTACTAAAGAGTATGCCAAAGTGTCTTTTTCTGGGGTATATGGGCCTTTTTAAATTCCACTCATGTAACTTGGATTTTCATATTTTCTACCCATTTTCCTGTTGTATCATTGCCATTTGTTCTTGGGCTTTGGGAAGCTTTTTGATCATCAGTCAGGTTAGCTCTTGTCTATCACAGAAATTGCACACCTTGTTCCATTTTGGTTGTGTTACTGTTTTGGGGCCTAGAAGCTGTTTATGTACTCACACCCATGTTTTCCTCCATATTTTGGCTTTGGAGTTATGGCTGCTTTGTGGTCTGACAGAAGACTATTTCACATACATGTTATTCTTATTCCAGCACCAGTGTGCTCTTGTCTTTGTGAAGCACATTCTTGTCTTATGTGAATGGTGATTTCCATAGTTCATCACACTCCAGGAGTTTGTGATGGCATGTTCTGCACCAGCCCAAATGTTCTGTCTTGGGAACCATTTAGTAGTGACTGGCAGATTGTGAACAAGGAAACTCTTCACTTGTTTGGCAAGGCTGTAGACATTTTCTGGAGCCTTACAGTCATTGGTATTAGCCTTGCAATTCTAGTAAAGAAAAGGAAGTTGGAGTTGAGAAAGTAATAGATGTGCCTTGCTGACTCCTCAGATCTGAAACCCTTCCTGCCCTCCTGAATGCTTTCATAGTTCTGAGTGGGATCTGTAAATCCATCCCTGTCTGCGGCTTTTTTTCACAAGACTTCTTGCCTATTAAGGGTGAGAAGGCTGAGTAGAATCAGGATTTAAAAAGGGATTTAAAAAGTAAGCCTGAGCTGGGTTCTTCCTCAGAATTCTCAGGGGGTGGGGAGCAAGTTTTCCATTTTCTAGTTCCTAGGTATTTATTAGACAGATCTTTGGGAAAATGTTAAAGGAACAGACATGTTCTTTGCTCATGAGGTCTTCATTTAAATACCCATTCTAATTTTCCTTCAGAATTGCTATTGGTTTGGTTTGATTCAGTTCAGTTTTGTGGTGGTATATGGCATTCCTATAGCTGTTCTAAAAATTCTCAGAGACTTGAAGTGGCAACAAAAAAAAAATCAGTCTTTCATGCCTGGAAGTCAGATGTTAAGTTTCTTCTGAGAATCAATTCCAGGTTTTCTCCTTGCTTTTGGTTTCTGGCAGTCCTTGGTGTTGCTTGGCTTATAGACCTATCACTCCAATCTCTGGTTCTTGTGCCTCATGGTTTCCTCCTCTACTTCTGTATTGTAGATGTGGAGTCTGTCTGGTAATTAAGGAGGATCTCCAGCTCATGACACTTACCTTACTACACCTACCAAGACCCTTTTCCCAAATAAAGTCGTGTTCTCAAATTCTGGGGGTTTGGACTTACACAACCCAGGGTAGGGATATCATAAGAACCTGAGTAAATGCAGCCAAAGACATGTGCCTTTAAGCCTTGCAATTCTGCTGGAGAGACTTGGTCTCTAGGGTGATGGTGACCACTAGGCTTCAGAATTTGGAGAAGGTCAGGCCTTTATAGATGCTACACTCCCAGCAGGGTCAGAAGGTGTGACTGAAAAAGACAGGTAGGCTACAGCGGGAGAGAGCAGTTGGACTGTCTCCAGTGGCTGTATGGGGTTCATGCTTCTTGGATAAATAGAGATACATAGGTACATTTCTGACCGGCACTTTATCCTCAAAGGGACTCAGAAAGCAGGTGTGACCCAGGTTTCACAGCAGGATCACCCGGGAGCTTGAAACATTCTGGTTTGGGCTTTATGGTCTGGTCATGCCAAAATATGAGGGTGGCCCAGGTGGTGGCTGGGACTAAATACCCTTCTCAGAAGGTTGGAGCCCTTGACACTTCCTTGCACTGAAGTATGGTGTATGATTAACTACACATGAGATATCAAGGATTTGAGATTATACCATCTTCCCTGACATGGGACATGCTTCTTTCTTTTCTGGAATTACTTAACTAGACCTAGAAAAACTGGTTGTTGTTTTTTTTTCTTTCAAGGGAATTAGCCTACTTGCTTTTAAGAGCTGTGCCCCTGGCAGACAGCTTCTAGATTCAGACAGCTAGAAACATGTCCTTCCCAGAAGTCCCGTTACTGTTACTTATGCTCTCTTCCTGTTGGCCTATGACCAAGAGAAATCCAGAGAGTCAGTAAGAGACAGTGCAGAGTACTTTACCCACTGTAGTAACAAATGATAAGGTGCAGATTGTAAGTAGAGATGATGTCAAAATAGGAACAATTGTAGTCCTGTGTGTGATGCCGTCAGGCATGGTGAGACCTTGCAGCATTTCCCCTTTGAAGGGGTGGGTGTTTGGTGAGATGGAGCAAGCACTTTGGAAACATCCTCAGCCCTCTATCTGACAGCTTGGTCCTCACAGTGACTACTTAATTGGAGTGGCTCTCATAGTACCATGTTTGTCACCACCAAAGGCTGTGATGAAATAGGCTATATATCTTATGACACAGGCCTGCATAGCCAGCATTGTGAACATTTTGTTACATGGAACACAGAGGATTAAAAAATAGTGTGAAATAAAGAAGACCTGCAAGCATGCATACTGTCCTCAGTTGGTGGATGTAGGGGGAGAATTGCCAGAAACAAAGTTTTTCTTTTGTGCTATTTCTATGCCTTTAATTCTCATGCATTATATAGGAAGTAGCTGTTACACATGCGTTTGAGGTTTCCTCTGCCTGACTGAGAAAAGCTCATTGTTGGCACAACAGGGTGGTGCAAGGGGCAAAAATCAACTAACATGGGGCCTGGATTTCCTGTGAGTGCAGCAACAAAGTACCACATGTTGGGGGCTTAGGCAACAGAGATTTCCTGTCCCGCCTATTCTGAGGGTAGGGGTCTGAGATAAGTGTGGGTAGAGTGGGTTCCTCATAAGAGATAACCCATTCCAGGCCTCTCTCCCACTGTGTAGCAGGTCCCAGCAATTCTTAGTGCTCTCTGGTTGGACCTGCAACTCTGGCTCTGCCACTTTTGTCACATGGTCACTTTATGTATTTCCTTTTTTATAAGCATATCAATATCAAACAAAGGTGAATATTTGGTAACATGAAAACATTTTGTTCAGTATTTAGTGATTGTACTATGAATTCTAATTGGTCTTAATAATAAAAACCTGGAGTAAGATATTAGGGGGTGAAAGCTGAAAGATCAGAGAAACAGAATAGCCAGCCACTAGTTCTCACCTCTATGAAATCCACAGACTCCTGTTTCCTCCCAGCTTATATTCCTCTCTGGGACAGCGATATCACTTCCTGTCTCCAACTCCCTAGTGCTGTAATTAAAGACATGAGATTTCAAGTGCTGGGATCAAAGGTGTGAGCTCTGTTTCTTTTGTACTGGTTCAATCTCACGTAGCCCAGTGTGGCCTTGAACTCCTGATCTTCTTGCTTAGACCTCCCAAGTGCTGGGATCAAAGGTGTGTGCCACCACTGCCTGGCCTCTGTGGTTAACTAGGTGGCTAGCACCATCCTTTGATCTCCAGGCAAACTTTGTTAGAGCACAGACAAAATATTATAAGTGACAGTGATAGAAAGAGCCAATCTGCAGAGATGGTCAGAACATCATGAGTGTTTTAGGTTTGGAGCTGTGGTCAACATCATGGATATGGAGGACAGAGGAAGAGGCATCTAATGACTACTGGGCTTTGGTTTTTCACACCTGGGTACCTGGGCCATCTGTCTACCACTGGGAAGACTAAGGAAAGGGATGCCAGAGTTGTGAGAGAGAAACAGTTCAGTGTTCAGTTCTGATCCAGCCAGGCTCAGTGTGAGATGTCCTGGGTCCCTTCATCTTGCCTTGATTTGTTAGGGTGGTTTCACGTTGAAACTGCAGGCTTTTCATTTATCTATTGCTTATTGGCAACCAGCGTGATCTGGTAAATCTGTTTCCATTTTGCTTAATGTCCTTCACTGATTTTCTGTTTCTTCAGATCTAAACTCCATCCTCAGCCTTGTGTTGCTCTAACTTCATATCATCTTCCCTAAAGGCCCAGCCCTTCCACACTGACCTTTTTTCTTTTCCTCAAACCCACTAGTACTTCTGTGTTTTAAGGTTTTTGCCTCTGTTGTCTCCTTTGCTGAGAAGGCTCTGTCCTCTAATCTGTACAGTTGATTTTTTTTGTTATTCAGATGTAAGTGTAAACAAAAGTTCTTTCATCTGAAGTCTTCATCCTAAATCACATTACCTTCAACTTAATCACATTGCTCACATCAACAAAACTGACCTTTTGTATTCTGTTGTTTCTTCCCTCCCACTAGAGGGAGACAGAAGCCTTGTCAATTCAATTTAGTAACACTATACAGGAGCTCATCACAGGGATACTCTGTGTTTACTGATAGCTGAACTTATCTGACATGACATCAGGATTCCCCTGCTAATATTTTCAGAGACATCACC